AAAATTGACAAGTCAGTTCAAGGTTATAAAAATTGTCAGCTGAGTGAGTGGCTAGTACAAAGTGGTCTGTGTTAAACAGGAGATAGTAAGACTGCAATGAGAGGTGGTTCATAGTGAGATAACGAATATGGGAAATGAAACAGGTGGAGGCATATATTGAGAAAACAGATAATATCAATAATAATGAGTCCGGATAGTATCAATGGAAAATTCGATAGTATTGAGAGAATGTTTGCATGAAGGGCATAAATTATGACGAATAATAATAATAATAACTGTAATAATAAGCAAAAGAAAAAAACTAAGAGGATTAAGGGGAAGAAGCACTCTTGGTCACCGTAGGAACAGCGTCTGAACGTGTTCTTTTTGGATACAAAGTTCCCACTTAGTCGATTTTATTGCAATAGCTTCAGCTATGTGTAGGAGACGTAAGCGAACTGTAGGTGATAACGACTTCGAAATTCGGTATACAACCCTGAAAGCTGTGTTAACATCGATGCAATGTCCAATATCGACCAAGTGTGACTAGATCGAGCTTTTTATGCGCACATAAATGTCACACAAATACGACTATTTATTTTGAAACCACATAACTAATCTGTTATGTATCCGCCGCATAACTGGCCATCATTATTGTAACGACAACAAATACTGCATATTTTATAATTGTAAGAACCTGAAGAGGAGAAATTATTGGAAAGAATATTCTTCGTTCAGATTGACTTTTAATTTATGATATGGGGATATTTCAAACTATTAAATCATATAACTCAATAATCTGGCCGAAACTATTCCTGGCGATCTTCTTCTCAGTAATTAAGCCCAAAAAGCCAAAATCCATCAACTGTGTCTAACACTAAGAACAATAGTCAAAGATAACAGCTTTATGCAAAACAAAATAATTGAGCAAAGGATATGCTTTTCGAAAATTTCCTTTTCTGATTCTACAATTATATATGCATGTTTATATACACAGAATATTCTAGATTAGTAGTTAATAACAATATTAGTGTGTTTTTTAAATAATATCGACTTGTTAAGTAAGATCACAATGGAATTACAGTCCATTAAAGACTCTAAATCGTCCGCCACCTACAACGCGCCCAACAATACCAACAACGGAAGCAGAACTACCAGTGAACATTGACCCCCGACGAAATCAGAAGTCCTGAATGCCATCAAGATGCTAAAAGCTGGGAAAGCACCAGGACCAGATGGAATCCCAGCAGAAGCTTTGAAAATAGACCCAGAGACAACAGCGGACTTGATGACGCCACTGCTGGAGAAGGTGTGGAAAGAGGGCAAAGTACCCGAGGATTGGAAGAACGGATACTTATTCAAACTACCAAAGAAAGGAGACTTAAGTCAATGTAAAAACTGGCGCGGAATTATGCTTCTGTCCATTCCAAGCAAGATACGAAGTCGCATCATCCTGGAGAGAATCAAACAAGCCCTAGATGAAAAACTTCGTCCGGAACAGGCCGGATTCAGGAGAAACAAATCATGTATTGATCAAATCGCCACACTACGGACCATCATTGAACAAAGCTTAGAATGGAAGTCACCTCTATACCTCACTCAACTTCACCGACTTTGAAAAGGCCGTCGACAGCGTCGATCGAGAGGTGATTTGGCAACTACTTCGCTAATACGGGGTCCCATCAACAATTATACATCTCATCCAACAGTTATACGACAATGCTGCATGCCAAATAATCCACAACGGGAAACTTACGGAAGCCTTCGAAGTGAGGACGGGAGTGAGACAAGGCTGTCTACTATCACCAATGATCTTCCTGATTGCAATTGATTGGATAATGCGATAGACAACGGCAACCAACGAGGGAACAGGCATAAAATGGACTGACACAAAAGACTTGGAGGATCTGTCTGTCTCTGTCTGTCTGGATTCAACATAGAACTTGGCACCGAAGTGCAGCACTTCGAGTTGTCACGTTCCAAATAGCACACAGAGGTAGACAAGAAGATGAGTGACGAGAATCAATACAGTCTGACGAGTATAAGAGTGAAACAGAATGGGTAATGGTAGAAAGGAATATGAAAGATTACAGAGACTGAATACATCTGCTCTGGCCATTGACAACGATTTTGAGCCATGTCACCTATTGTCTCTAGCCATTGATTCTTAGAGTCAGTCCTGAGGGCCCCAACCCGGAAGTCTGCATCTCCCTACCTGAATCAGTTTAACTGTCAAGGATTTCATGGATTGATGAGGTCATGTTTTTGTTTGGCCACCACTGGCTCTTTTCCAACCTGCACCTATATCAGCTAGTAATGCCCGTCGTCGGGGAGGCGGTGGTTAGGCATGCGCACCACGTGACTTAGCCATCTCAGTCTATGTAACTTTATAGCCTCGTCGATTGATTTTCCCTCTTTGCCCAACACTCTACGCCTAATGTCAACATTACTTACCTTGTGAAACCACCTAACGTGAGACAGAGATCGCAGACATCTATGATCGAAAGCAGTCAACCTTTTCATGTCTTCAACGCGTATTGGCCATGTGAAAAAAAAGCAACAAGTTGGCAGAAGAAGCATCAAAGATAGGACTTCGAGTGAACATAGATAAAACAGAGGTGATGAAGATTCCTAGCCAACAACAACAGCAACAACAACAACAGACAACAATCAGCCAGCATAAATGGGAGGAACCTGAAAGAAACAACCTCCTTCACCTACCTGGGAGGCATCGTCTCAACTACAGGCGGAACTGATGAGGACATCAAAGTCAGAATCGGAAAAGCAAGACAAGCATTCATTACTCTCAAATCTGTGTGGAGGTCAACAGCACTCAGCATCAAAAATAAGATCCGGATTTTCAACTCCAATGTAAAGTCAGTGCTACTATACGGATCAGAGACTTGGCGAGTCATAAAGAGCATCTCAAACAAACTTCAGACCTTCATTAGCAGCTGTCTCCGCTCAATACTCAAGATCAGATGGCCAGAAAATATCAGCAACAGGGATCTCTGGGAGCGAACCAATCAGGAACCGATTGTGAAACAAATAAGCAGGAAGAAATGGAGATGGATTGGCCATACTCTGAGGAAACCATCAAGTGACATCACTAGACAAGTCACTGATCGAGTGGAACCCGAAAGGGATGCGGCGAGTTGGTCGTCCAAGGGTGACTTGGAGGAGGAGATGAAAGCATGTGGGCAGACTTGGAGAGGGGTGAAAAAGTTCGTAGAAAACAGAAGGCAATGTAGGTGCGCAGCTAAAGCCCTATGTTCCTCTAGGAACTAAAGGATACAATAATAATAGTAATAAAAACTCTGGCTCTGAAACATGGCCAATACGAGTTGAAGACATGAAAAGGTTGACTGCTTTCGATCATAGATGTCTGCGATCTCTGTCTCACGTTAGGTGGTTTCACAAGGTAAGTAATGTTGACATTAGGCGTAGAGTGTTGGGCAAAGAGGGAAAATCAATCGACGAGGCTATAAAGTTACATAGACTGAGATGGCTAGGTCACGTGGTGCGCATGCCTAACCACCGCCTCCCCCGACGACGGGCATTACTAGCTGATATAGGTGCAGGTTGGAAAAGAGCCAGTGGTGGCCAAACAAAAACATGACCTCATCAATCCATGAAATCCTTGACAGTTAAACTGATTCAGGTAGGGAGATGCAGACTTCCGGGTTGGGGCCCTCAGGACTGACTCTAAGAATCAATGGCTAGAGACAATAGGTGACATGGCTAAAAATCGTTGTCAATGACAGCGCAGATGTATTCAGTCTCTGTAATCTTTCATATTCCTTTCTACCATTACCCATTCTGTTTCACTCTTATACTCGTCAGACTGTATTGATTCTCGTCACTCATCTTCTTGTCTACCTCTGTGTGCTATTTGGAACGTGACAACTCGAAGTGCTGCACTTCGGTGCCAAGTTCTATGTTGAATCCAGACAGACAGAGACAATAATAATGGTATAGTAGAAAATAGAATATCAACTAAAATTAGGGAAATTTTCACAAAAAGTGAGGATCTTTCGGACCTAGATGGCCGAGGTAATGGCAATGTCTGAACTAGCTTCTTTCGGACACATAAATTAGGCTTCTTGATGTGGATCCCAACGGTGCCAGCAACATTTGTTAGCCGAACTCTTGAGGCGAATTTAAGATTTGTCGGTATGCGGTAGATGACATTGAAAGCCGCCTCGTTGACATCAATCTTGTGTTCTGTGTCCACAAGATGAGATAGAATAGCGCTACGAATAGATTTTGTTTGTCCTTTACTTAACCACTATGCAGGGTGATGTTCGGAAATCCGACGAGGCCGTTGCGATCCACATTAAGAAGCCTAATTTATGTGTCCAAAAGAAGCTAGTTCAGGCATTATTCTTACCTTGGCCATCTAGGTTTGAATGATCCTCAATTTTTTTGTGGGAATTTCCCTAATTTTAGTTGATATTCTATTTGCTACTATACCATTGTTATTATTATTTAGGCGTCTTTAATGAACTGTAATTCCACTGTGATCTCACTTAACGAATCGATATTATTTAAAAACACACTAATTTTGTTATTGAGTACTATTCTAGAACATTCTGTTATATATATATATATATATATATATATATATATATATATATATATAATTGTAGAGACAGAAAAGGAAATTATCGGAATGGATATTGTTTTCTCCATTATTTGTGCCTTATAGGTGTCTGAATGAATATTTTCGTTATAACAGCTTTAGACAAACTTGGATTGTCTTATTACAAGATTACAAATGTCTACAGGGTGTTTTGTATAGCGGGATAGGTAGAATCAAAAGTCCCGGGGTCCGATAGCCGGCCGACGCACTCCTTTACATCGCTAAGCCAGAAATAATGCTGGTGAAGAGGAAAGGTTGGGCATAAGGCTAGCAACCCCATCCTGTAAAACATAAACACTGCTAAAGAAACTTCAAGCCACTAGCTTGAGGCCTTATGTTCCACTGGCGAACGTGAGGGGAAAAAAGGTTCCCTTATCATACACTGAAAACTATCTAACAACGATAAGCCGAAAAATATAAACACACTTTTTTCTGTACATCAAAATTTATTTCTGAAATTTCTCTCGAACTAAATGTTTGACAACATTTTGAATATGTGGTATAATCAATTTTCTAGCTTCAAGCCATTCTTGTTTTACTTTCTCAGGGTTGGTTATTGTAAAATAATCTATACCATCTTTATAATGAGGGGCAAAAAATGATTCTTGACTAACAGCATTCAAATTATCACCATCATCGTCATCATTGTGAGGTTCGTCTTCTTCCTCATTGTCCAATGTTTTCCATTCTTCTACAATTTGTTCTAATTGAAAGTTAAATTTGAACTGTTCTTCATCCATTATTCAAGACCTATAAAAATATGACAGAAGGATAAGAGACTCGGAATCGGGCTATATCAACTAAGGAAAAACGCGTCAGTCATGCTTATATATATATTTTAAACACATAAGAAATCAGGATTTCATCATGACCTCACATTAGTTAAAGAACCATTGGAAAACCTGAGAGTACTGGACAGCTGTTTCGTCAGCCTAGATTGGAACTCTTCATCAGTACGCACCCACCAGGATTCGAACCCAGGACCTTCTTGTTACAAGGCGAGCTCGTACACCATTAAGCCACCGGGATCCAATCCAATGGCCCATGAATTCTAACTTCTGCCAATTGACGACAAAGCACAATTTCAATTTGTTTCCATGCTCATTTTCGCTCACACCTGTAATTCGTTCTATCCCTGCGCAACTTTTGTTTCTAAGCCTCTTGTAATTCATATCAGATTGAAAAATTATTTAAAATTATTTCTTCGGTTACCAAATATTTTAATTTTGTATACGTTGTAACTATTTTCTAACCCTATTCAATCTTGTTTCTTAGCCCCTTGTAATCTATATTATACGTACTTTCAAACTTTCATATCAAGTTGAAAATTATTATCTCCTTCGTTAGTATGTGAAACTAAACAAATAATAATTGTATCCAGCTGAACTAATGTATATAAATGCGATTGTACAGCTGTTTTCGAGAATGAAATCACCGAAAAGACCGCCATCTTTGTTGAACTTCTTGTTCTTTTCCCTTTAATGTCCCAATGGGTATTTTCCACATCTTGAGATTATTTCATGACCATAACGTAAACTAAATCCAGATTTTATGGATAAATACTTCTATGTGTCTCTTCAGCCGCCACTGACCTAATATATGTTGATTTCAGTTTTTTAAGTCCCATTTCTATCAATTTGGATCTCTATATAATAGAGCAGCACACGCCACAGTATTTACTCTAACGTTGAAAAGTTTAAATCGATACAATTGATTTTAAACAGCCAGTTATTATTGCTCATCTTTAAGGAATATGTTAGTTAACATTACTAGTTGATATAAATGGTACATAACTACTCATCTCGATCAATTAGTAGTAATGTTGCTATTAGATGATTGGAGGCAATCGGCAGGAAGCCTTGCCTGACCTAGGTTTCGTGCTAGCTGACACTCATCAGCAAGGCGGGCCTGAAAACTTGAAGAGAACTCATGTCCCCCTCCTTCTGAGATTCAAACCCGCGTCATCCAGTGCTGCCTGCAGTCAAAAACGTGACCACCACTGAGCTATTCAGGCTCGCGATTGACCTCCTGTCGGAATGACTGCGCTGGATTTTTTTGATTGGACACTAGACAATAACTAGAGTAATGTGTCTAGTCAAATCTCAGAAGGGACATGAGTTTGTCTGTCTGTCTGTTTTCGACATAAAACTTTGCACATATGTGCAGCAGTTCAAGTCGCCACATTCTCTCCATGTAGCACACAAAGCAAGAGAAGAAATGCATAATAGAGACAGTAAACAGAGGTGTGAAACAAAGGAATAGTAATAACGAAGAACAATACAGTTTCATTGGAAATCATAGGTCACAAGGTCCCGAGGACCCCAACCAGCCAGTCAGGAAGTCTACACCTTTCTACGTGACTTAGACTAACTGTTGTGGATTTCATTGACCGGTGTCATGTTTTGGTTTGATCACCGCTAGCTGTTTTCCAACCTGACCCTAAGTCAGCTAACATTGCCCGTCGGTCGCGGAAGGCGATGACTAGGCATACGTAACACATGTCCTAACCATCTCAGTCGATGTAGGGACATGAGTTCCTTCAAGGAGGCTGCTGATACGTCTTGCTGACTGGTGAGTGACAACTAGCACGAAGCTTAGGTGGAAGGCTTCCTGCTTATTGCCTCTAACCATCTAATACCAACAATTCACAGTGGACCATGATGATAATTCACCTAGTGGCATGGTGGCCACATTGCAAACTTGACTGATCGAATTCAGCAGTCTACACCAACGTCAAGGATTAGACACATTACACTAGTTACTGACTAGTATCCAATCAAAAACGATCAGTGGTGCATCGTCTCATGCAAACATGTTGATTAGATTGAACTGTACATTCAAGTACACAAACTTAACTGCTTAGTACGATATCAAGGTAAAAATTCACATATCAACAATTATAAACCTTGGAGTGAATTTACAGTGGCACGAGTTGAAAATTTAAGCCTGTTGTGGTTTTGTAAAGAAGCATTAGAATTACCGATGGGAATTACAGATTAACTTTTACATAAGAAACTAGAACACTGTAATACAGTACAATTACATCATTATGAAAAGACTAGCTGTCTTTGATCACATATGTATAAGACTTTTTTCCCGGTTAAGTAGTGTAATATGGAGATCAATCATTTAGGTTAAATGTATAGCATTAAGTAAGAAGGGTAAGTCAATCGATCAGGTTGTGACTGACTGACTGATTGGTTTCAACATGGAACTTTGCACAGATGTGCAGCAGTTCGAGCTGTTAAACTCCATCCGTGTAGCACACAGAACAAGAGAAGAGAGTAAAGACGGATTTAAAATAGAAATAATAAGCAGCAATGTGAGAGAAAAAAGAATAGTAGAAAGGAAGATCAATAAAGTTTTACTGGATACTATAAATCACAAAGAGTGAATGCATCTATGCTATCATTGAGAACGACTTTGAGACATATCACCGACTGTCTCGAGCCACTGCTTTTCATCATCTCGAACACCCTAACCAGTAAGGAAGTCTACACTTCCCAACGTGACTGCCTTAAATTAACTGTTGTTGATTTCACTGACTGATGAAGTTATGCTTTGGCTTGACCGCCAGTGGCTTTCTCTTTTCCAACCTGATCTATCATATGTCAGTTATCATCGCCCATCGAAGAAGGTTGTGAAGCTGAATCGATTGATACGGCTAGGACATGTGTTGAGTATGCAGAGCTACAGCCTTCCTTGATGAATAATGTTAGCCAAAATAAGATTGGTTGGTAAAAGAGTTACGGGTAATCAAATCAAAACGTGGTATCAGTCCACGAGGTCGCTGACAGTTGCGGTGAACCATTTAGGAAAATGTGGACTCCCTGCTGGGGTCCTCAGGACGCTAAGAATCAATGGCTGGAGACAAATGGTGACACGGTTAAAAATTGTGCTCAGTGACTTACAGCTGCATTCACTCTTTATGGTCACCCATATATATATATATATATATATATATGCTCATTATAGTTATTCCGAATCTTTTTCCCATCTTTTCCCTACTTCAGTGCTGCGTGGAGTGCGACCATTTGAACCACTGCACTTCTATGCAAGTTCTATGCTGAAAACACATTCAGTCTGTCACAGTACATTTATCATCTTTGTTTATCTGACAGAACATCACTGCATGGATTTCGTTTTCAGCATAATTTGTTGATCGTAACTAACATTAGAGAAATTTTTTTATATTACTAAATGTAGAAGATAGTTATTCATAGCAAATTCTTTCGAGGATCATTATAAAATCAATGAGAATAATTCCAACGCGTTTAAATAGTCAAAACAAGCTTATCTTGAACGCTTTGCTGGGTAAGACACAGTCTTCTTGGCCGAATTATTTGGGACATGTTATGTTTCGCGTTCAAGTTACTCGAGGAAATTCATGGCAGCTATGGTTTGGATATTCATATCCTATAATGTGAACTTACTAAAACGTAATAGGGGAAAAACTACTCAAGGAGGAAAAGTAGGTATATAAGGCTTGTGGACCTCATTTGAACGACTTCCTCAACTGAAATCAGTAATCAAAGGCCGACTGAGTTTCAAGATAGAACTTTCCACAGAGGTTCATCAACTCACCTGGCCACAATGCATGTAACACGCAGTGATAGACAAAAGATCGATAGAAATAACATTCGAAAGACAATCATGTGAATATATGTGGGGAAAAGGATAGAAACATGGAAGACAGCATAGTACATACAGGGTACCAAAAAGAGTTAGTACATTTGCCCCATTGAGAACGATTTTCAGCTGTGTTACCGATTATCTCCAGCCTTCATTGGTCCTTAGAATCTAGAGGACCTCAACCAGGAAGCCTACAGCTGACTAAAACTAACTGTCGAAGATTTCACCGACTGATTCCAAGTTTTAGTTTGACCACCACTAGCCCTTTTCCAACCTATGTCAGCTAAAACTGCGCGTCGAGGAAGGTGATGGCTAGGCTAAGCATGCGTAACACATATCCTAACCATCTCAACCGGTGAGACTTCACAACCTCGTTGATTGATTTCCCCTCCTTACCTAGCACTCAACAGACGCTTAACCTCAATATTGCTCACCTTATCAAACAACTTAATAAAAGAGGTGAAACGCAAACGTCAGTGGTCAAATACAGCTAGCCTATCCATATTCTCTACTTCCAATAGGCATATCTCATAGCCATAAAGGAGGCTAGAGTGAACTGGTGGGCAGTTGGCGTGCGTCCTTTGACCGATAGCCGGATAACATTTCTACGTCCGAGATGACGTAAGTCGACAAATGTCACATTAAAGTAGTCAAAAAGTTTGTGAATTCCTGTCTTGTTTTTGTTTTATTGCATTACCCTGTCTCCATATATAAACCAACCTAATTTAGACTGTGAAGACTAATAATATTATCAAGTAACATACTCCTCTTACCTAGAATTTTACATTTGATCTTGGCATCTGACTCCGCATAAAATGAGTTATGGAAAGAAAATTCTGTTCATGTCTCTTATTTTCAGTGACTGCCACTTATCTCTAAGACAGCATCATGAATAACCGGATATTTTGGCCATATATCAATATTCGAGGGATTGAATCGGTCAAGAATGTAAGGATTGAAGGCTAACATACGTATGAGCGTAATTGTAACTACCTGAGTAATTATTCAAGTACTATTATGTTTCTAACCACAATTCATGTGCATGAGAGCTAATCGTTCACCATAATCTGTGAACCTTAATTATTCATATTACACTTGCTAGTGATTACTTCTGTAAATTGATATTTTTATAACACCTTTCAGAGCTTTAGTGATGCATTTTGGGAAATTATATGACCACTTACTTCAGAATATAGGATCAAACCAGCATATATTTAGTGCTTTAGATAAGTTTAAAGAGGATTTCCCTAACCCCTGCTTAAGTTCTGTAGTCAGGCTGGTATCGCATTTCAGAAGTCAAACATAAAGAACAATAGCCTGACCTAAACAAAGAACCAGAACGAACAGCAAGATTAACGTAAGTTTTATCCTAACTCTTTAAAAAATTTGTTGGGAGAAACATTGTGTATCTTATGTATGGGTTCAACATACTCAACAGGACACTAGTAGCAGGGGACAACTGCTTGAGGCCGGTCACACGCGACCTGTTTTTGCTTGTTCTCTTTTGTTTGGTGTGCCTCAGTAGCATACTTATCACTCCTGCCCTGTGACACGGCAGCAGGAAGCGCGGTCGTTGTTAATCCGGGCCACGGCCAATCCGGCATGAAATTTTGTGAATTTGTTTGAATCATGGTATTGGATGGGGTACCTGCTTTTTGTTTAACCGCTATCCAAACAACCTGCCTGGCATGGTAGAACCTCAAGAGACATAAGTCTCAGTCACTATGTGATAGTTTCTCAAGTCTTGATAGATAGTAGAAAGCAGCTGAATGCAGGTAAAACTGTTTATCAAAATGTCTAGGGATCACTAGTCTACTTATCTTTTTTCTTTGGTAAATCCAAATTAAGCTTAGGTGTAGTTTGCAAAATGTTGTAGACTCATGTTTTGTAGCCAGTTATTGCTAACTGTATAATCGCTTGAAATAGAGCAGGATGCAGTAAGCTTATTAAAGTGAACGACACCTTTGCTATCAGGATAACCGTAGCCTATCATGCAATATTTCCTTAGAAATTAGTCCATTACTCAACTGCGTACCCGTTGAGAAATAAAACCGTGGTCTGTATATGTATCCACTTGGATAGCTGTGGTATACAGCAGTTTGCGGTGTCCAGTTTGTTCTCGAACTCTTTCCACAGGTATCCCCAATATCATTCCATTGAGTTGTTATGCTTATATGAGTAGATCAACAAAAGTTTTAACATGATTAACTGTATTTTGTATATAAGCTGATGCAAACAATCTCCCATAACCTGCTCAAACATTAAAGTACGTGGTGGTGTTTGCTCAAACGATTTTGGGTTCATTATTCACTCTGCTACTAGTGGTCTAGTGGATAACGCTTTGGCGTTTGAAACTATGGGTACTGGGTTCGAGCCTCGGTGGGAACATCATCACTCACTGAGAAATGCAGGTGCATCCAGCTGAAGAGTCCCAAATAGGACGAAATGCGCTTTATTTCCCGACCGAAAGCTGCTACCTTGATGTGGTGGTCGGGCTTGAACACCGCAATGACCTAATCAAGCAATACTGACTGAGACTTATGTCTCTTGAGGTTCTACCATGCCAGGCAGGTTGTTTGGATAGCGGTTAAACAAAAAGCAGGTACCCCATCCAATACCATGATTCAAACAAATTCACAAAATTTCATGCCGGATTGGCCGTGGCCCGGATTAACAACGACCGCGCTTCCTGCTGCCGTGTCACAGGGCAGGAGTGATAAGTATGCTACTGAGGCACACCAAACAAAAGAGAACAAGCAAAAACAGGTCGCGTGTGACCGGCCTCAAGCAGTTGTCCCCTGCTACTAGTGTCCTGTTGAGTATGTTGAACCCATACATAAGATACACAATGTTTCTCCCAACAAATTTTTTAAAGAGTTAGGATAAAACTTACGTTAATCTTGCTGTTCGTTCTGGTTCTTTGTTTAGGTCAGGCTATTGTTCTTTATGTTTGACTTCTGAAATGCGATACCAGCCTGACTACAGAACTTAAGCAGGGGTTAGGGAAATCCTCTTTAAACTTATCTAAAGCACTAAATATATGCTGGTTTGATCCTATATTCTGAAGTAAGTGGTCATATAATTTCCCAAAATGCATCACTAAAGCTCTGAAAGGTGTTATAAAAATATCAATTTACAGAAGTAATCACTAGCAAGTGTAATATGAATAATTAAGGTTCACAGATTATGGTGAACGATTAGCTCTCATGCACATGAATTGTGGTTAGAAACATAATAGTACTTGAATAATTACTCAGGTAGTTACAATTACGCTCATACGTATGTTAGCCTTCAATCCTTACATTCTTGACCGATTCAATCCCTCGAATATTGATATATGGCCAAAATATCCGGTTATTCATGATGCTGTCTTAGAGATAAGTGGCAGTCACTGAAAATAAGAGACATGAACAGAATTTTCTTTCCATAACTCATTTTATGCGGAGTCAGATGCCAAGATCAAATGTAAAATTCTAGGTAAGAGGAGTATGTTACTTGATAATATTATTAGTCTTCACAGTCTAAATTAGGTTGGTTTATATATGGAGACAGGGTAATGCAATAAAACAAAAACAAGACAGGAATTCACAAACTTTTTGACTACTTTAATGTGACATTTGTCGACTTACGTCATCTCGGACGTAGAAATGTTATCCGGCTATCGGTCAAAGGACGCACGCCAACTGCCCACCAGTTCACTCTAGCCTCCTTTATGGCTATGAGATATGCCTATTGGAAGTAGAGAATATGGATAGGCTAGCTGTATTTGACCACTGACGTTTGCGTTTCACCTCTTTTATTAAGTTGTTTGATAAGGTGAGCAATATTGAGGTTAAGCGTCTGTTGAGTGCTAGGTAAGGAGGGGAAATCAATCAACGAGGTTGTGAAGTCTCACCGGTTGAGATGGTTAGGATATGTGTTACGCATGCTTAGCCTAGCCATCACCTTCCTCGACGCGCAGTTTTAGCTGACATAGGTTGGAAAAGGGCTAGTGGTGGTCAAACTAAAACTTGGAATCAGTCGGTGAAATCTTCGACAGTTAGTTTTAGTCAGCTGTAGGCTTCCTGGTTGAGGTCCTCTAGATTCTAAGGACCAATGAAGGCTGGAGATAATCGGTAACACAGCTGAAAATCGTTCTCAATGGGGCAAATGTACTAACTCTTTTTGGTACCCTGTATGTACTATGCTGTCTTCCATGTTTCTATCCTTTTCCCCACATATATTCACATGATTGTCTTTCGAATGTTATTTCTATCGATCTTTTGTCTATCACTGCGTGTTACATGCATTGTGGCCAGGTGAGTTGATGAACTTCTGTGGAAAGTTCTATCTTGAAACTCAGTCGGCCTTTGATTACTGATTTCAGTTGAGGAAGTCGTTCAAATGAGGTCCACAAGCCTTATATACCTACTTTTCCTCCTTGAGTAGTTTTTCCCCTATTACGTTTTAGTAAGTTCACATTATAGGATATGAATATCCAAACCATAGCTGCCATGAATTTCCTCGAGTAACTTGAACGCGAAACATAACATGTCCCAAATAATTCGGCCAAGAAGACTGTGTCTTACCCAGCAAAGCGTTCAAGATAAGCTTGTTTTGACTATTTAAACGCGTTGGAATTATTCTCATTGATTTTATAATGATCCTCGAAAGAATTTGCTATGAATAACTATCTTCTACATTTAGTAATATAAAAAAATTTCTCTAATGTTAGTTACGATCAACAAATTATACTGAAAACGAAATCCATGCAGTGATGTTCTGTCAGATAAACAAAGATGATAAATGTACTGTGACAGACTGAATGTGTTTTCAGCATAGAACTTGCATAGAAGTGCAGTGGTTCAAATGGTTGCACTCCACGCAGCACTGAAGTAGGGAAAAGATTCGGAATAACTATAATGAGCATATATATATATATATATATATATATATATATATATATATATGGGTGACCATAAAGAGTGAATGCAGCTGTAAGTCACTGAGCACAATTTTTAACCGTGTCACCACTTGTCTCCAGCCATTGATTCTTAGCGTCCTGAGGACCCCAGCAGGGAGTCCACATTTTCCTAAATGGTTCACCGCAACTGTCAGCGACCTCGTGGACTGATACCACGTTTTGATTTGATTACCCGTAACTCTTTTACCAACCAATCTTATTTTGGCTAACATTGTTCATCAAGGAAGGCTGTAGCTCTGCATACTCAACACATGTCCTAGCCGTATCAATCGATTCAGCTTCACAACCTTCTTCGATGGGCGATGATAACTGACATATGATAGATCAGGTTGGAAAAGAGAAAGCCACTGGCGGTCAAGCCAAAGCATAACTGTAAATATATTTGCACTTTTTCTCGACGAAAAACAATAATTTCAAACTTCGTGTGGAAAGGGGCAATCTACAGCCCTTACTGAAATAAACTGTTGTGTAAAACTTCACTGACTTTCTCAAACGTGTCTGTAATACACATTAAACACTAATTCCGTGAGTGGCCTTTAAAATATTTACTTGCTATACATTAGTCTAAGAGTGATTTCGCGGAATTGCGGAGGCAAACGAAAGCAAAAATTGGTGCAAACTGCAACAGGTTTGCGCTCCTGAGTGATTCATGCTTATTATTAGGCACCAAAATTCCTCAAAATTATTTATTTCGGCTCTGAGTTGCTTCCACGCCTATAATCCTAATACACATTCACTCTTTGTATATCTTTGTACTACTAGATACATTATTAGATATTGATAAAAGGGACAAGTTCCCAAAACTACATGGAGCACGTGTCACGACCACATATGTGATTGAAGTTACTACTTTGTTCAAAAATTCTTGTCTGTTTACCTTAAAAGTGGAGCTCAGCTATGATGAATTTTTAAAGATATGTTGACCATGTTTCGGCTAGCTCTGCATTACACTCTATAACCAGCATTATTTCGAATACTCACTCCAATCAGGTCACTAAATATTAGTAACGCTCCATTTGCAGCGCCCTCCAGAAACATCCAATATCCAATATCGTTTTTACGAGCTAGTATAAACCAATTTGATTTCTTTGTGCTCGCTTCTTGATTGTGAGGTATAGGTTCTTGATCTTCGGTAAACTTCTGCGTAGCTTGTCCCGCCACTCGACTGTCGTAGCTTTGGTTGACTCCAAAGGGAGTAGTGCTGGGATTAATTATATGTGGTTTGTAGTATGAGGTATGTTAAGACTGTTACTACTGTGATTGGAGTTGATCCTTTCGCCAGTTAGTCCTTCGGTATTGTCGACAAGAGAAAAGAGATAGTAATAATAATAATAATAATAGTAATAATAATAATAGATATAATTAGTGAAGCTATTCAGACTAAGAGACAGAAACGAAAATAGGAAACGTAACAACAGTCAGCTCATGAAGTTTGAAGAATAATATATATATCGGTAATAGTAATAATAATAATAGTAATTATAATATTAATAAGTTGTCAGGAGAGTAAGACGGGAGAGAATGTAAAGAAGTAAAATGACGAGTTTAATTATCTACCCTGATTGGTAAATGCGATTTTAAGGAGATAGGCCATTTGGATGCAGTCCTTGTATCGCTGCATGGTTGTCCAGCCTTCGCTTAAAGGCGTCCAAAGACGGTGCCATAGCTACATCTGCCGGTAAGGAATTCCAGGGACGACAAACCCGCAGTGAAAAGAAGTGGGAGCGCACCCGGGTCCTTGCCCTCTGGTGAGCTATCCTTCTGGGATTTCCACGTGGAAGCCTATACCTACTCAATGGCAGAACACCTTTGTTTGGGTGATTCTGGTCATTTGTTATTTTGTAGGCAGTAATCAAATCCCCCCTAAGCCGACGGTAACTAAGTGTGAACAGGCCTAATTTCTTCAGCCTTTCATCATATGGTTTGTTTCGGAGACCAACCACTCCTTTTGTTGCCCGTCGTTGGACTCTTTCCAAGAGGTTGGCATCTCTTCTCAGCATTGGGGGTGCAATAATATTATGCACCTCAAGGTGTGGCCTGACGTATGTTTTGTACAACATTAGAAAGAGCTCAGGAGTGAGTGCACCTAACTGTCTATGCGTAAAGTGTATGACCGCATATGCCCTCGCTACATCCCCTGTGTAATTTACGCTTGTGTCCATTTTTTCCGTTAGAACTAGACCTAAGTCGCGTTCCGACGTTGTGCAGGACAAGCTTTCATTGCACAGGGTGTAACTTGCATTCTGCAGTCTACAGGTGCGCAACTTCACTACTTTGCACTTTTTCAAGTTGAAAGTCATGCCACTGGCCACCGCCCAGTCTTCCAGAAGGTTTAGGTCTTCCTGTAGCCTATCTGAGTCCTCCGGACACTTTATCGCCCTCCATATTTTTACGTCGTCAGCGTACAGGAGAGTCGGGCAGCTCAGACGGCGTGGTAGATCATTGATGAAAATCAAAAACATCAGTGGTCCTAGGATAGAACCCTGCGACACTCCTGATGACGATCTGTGCCAAGATGATCGGACTCGGTTAACCTTAGTGCAAAATTGCCTGTCGGCTAGGTAGTCCTTCAACCATGACAGAAGTGGCTCACCTATGCCTGCCTGGCTTATTTTATGTAGGAGAAGGTCATGGTGAACAGTGTCAAATGCCTTCTCAAAGTCTAGGAAGACCACATGGACTGGTACGTTCAAGTCCCAGCATGATGTCCAGTCGTCCCAAGCTGACAGTAGGTTAGTGACGCAGGATCTGCCTTTTCTGAAACCATGTTGGGCTTCATGTAGTATATTAGTCCTATCGAAATATTCCCTGATGTGGTCGTCAATAATACTTTCCAGTACTTTTGATACCACTGGGAGTAGAGCTACTGGTCTATAGCTAGCAGCGTTTTGCCTGTCCCCACCCTTGAAGATTGGAGAAAGGATGGCTCTTTTCCACTCCCTTGGCAGGGTCCCCGAATCCATTGAGTGTTGGAACAAGTCGCACAGGGGTCTACAGAGAGCCTCGGCGCACTGTTTCAGAACAGATGGCCTGATGTCATCACAACCTGGGGACTTCCCAGGTATGAGTCGCTGTAGCTTCCTTAGTACTATTGCGGGGTTTATTTGGGGAGTAGTCGCTAGGTCTTCCTCCTCTGAAATAGTGGTGCCACCATTTTGGTCCGTAACTGTAATATCCACATTGCTGTTTAGCTGTTTAGCGAAGGCTGAACTGAATGTTTCAGCCATCTCCAGACTAGTGAGATATTGACCGTTTGGGCCTACTAAGGCGCATGCCCCTTGGTTTGTCGGTTTTCTTTCCGACATGAATCGGTACAAGTTTTTAGGGTTTGATAGGAGTTTTTTAGCAAGGTTAGCCTGGAATGACCTTCTGTCCCTCCTAACTCTTGCATTACACCGGTTCCTGAGTTCGAGGTATGCATCATGGTCGGTCTGACTCTTAGATACACGCCACGTAAACCAAGCCTCCGCTTTGCTTGCAGAATACGTTGCGTGCCTCTCTTCAACCATGACGTCTTTCTCTTAGGCTGTGTTGTGACTAAAGGGACGGTATCCGAGATTGCTGCATGGATAATCTTTTTTACCACTTCCCAGTGTTCATCCACAGATAGGTCGTCCCATGCTAAGGGCCAGTCTGCGTCGGACAAGAGCCTCCGCATTTCAGCATAGTCAGCCTTGCTGTAGCACAGACATGGTCGCGTAACATCCCATTGCAAACGCTCACGGAGGACAAGATCGAAACCTATGACTGCATGGTCACTGCTTCCCAGAGGAGTCATGATCTGGACCTTTTCGACGAGTAGCTGGTCACTAGTTAGAATATAATCTAGTTTTGATGACTTTCCACTAGGGCCCCACCTAGTGTCGTCTCCAACATTCTCAGTCAGTCCCGTGTTTCGAATAGTTTGCAGTAGGTTTCGGCCAAATTTTCCCTTAGCACACCCGGAGCCAAGGTTCAGTGATGGAGCATTGAAATCTCCAGCTATGGTGATTTGGTCGTAGCCCAAATCTCGTATTCCTGTGATAGTGCTGAGCAGTAGCTGATTGTGCTCTGCCCCACAGGTGGGAGATCGGTAGATGCCACCCAGTAAGTGCTTGGTGTGGCCTACGGTGAAATGACACCATATGGAGTCTGGGAGTTCGATAAGTGGTGGGTCCGTTGCGCGCACACATTTAAGTTGCCTATCAAAGTATATAGCAACTCCCCCTCCTTCCTTATTATCCCTGTCTCTCTGACCAGTACCATATCACCTATACTGATTTCATTGTCGGCGATAGTGGGGTTTAGCCACGTTTCAGTAAGAATGATTATTTTCAGTTGAAGGTGTGCTTGGAGATTTCGGAGTTCACCTACTTTCCCTCTCAGCCCCCTCACATTGCTATATAGGCAACTGACAGTGAGTCTAACAACCTCAGAGTGTTGTGGGGTAGTTGACGTGAAACCGTCTGCTGGTGGGGGACTTGATGTTGGAACTAGTTGGCCGATTCCGATAGAACCGGCCCGTTGTAGTTTTTTTCAATGGATTTAGGCAGGACACTTGGGAGACACAGACTATTATTCTCAGAGCTGCATCGCAACATTTTAAGATTCAGATTTCAGATTTATTGGTTGGGGAATAGGAGGCTTGAAGCCTATGTTAATCCTTTTCTAGTTGATTTCTGTGGTTGTCCAAACCCTTATTGAACGAATCAGTTGAAGTTGCAGATACCACTTCTTCTGGGAGTCGGTTCCAAGAGTTTATGACTCGATATGAGAACCAGTACTCAACAGCAATATGATTTCTTCTTGGCTTTTGAACTTTCCTGCTATGTCCTCTAAGGTGTTCCGACCTGGTGGGAAGGAAAAGAGAGAATAGGTCGGGTCCGTAGTCATTATTTAAAATTTTAAACATTGTGATTAAATCTTCTCTCTGCCTACAGTATGACAGTGAGAAGAGATTTAAACTGTCTAGTCTTTCCTCGTATGATAAGTTAGCTATGCCGTGAACCATACGTGTTGCCTTCCTTTGAATACTTTCTAGAATGTGTGAATCCCCTTTTAGACACGGACTGGCGGCCTGGATGCAATTTTTCAGTCTTGATCTCACCATAGATGTATATATGGGGGTGAACATATCTCCGGTGATTCTAGTGAAGGCTCTGCGAATTGCATATAAGGACCTGAAACTTGCGTGCAGCCCCCGCGCGACAGTGTGCTGTAGTTTTTAAATCATGACACCTAGGTCCAGGTGAGTCTAAACTGATGGAAGCGTTATTCCCTCTAGTTCGTAGGAGCTTGTGCTTGCTTGTCCAATGGACATGGTTGCACATTTTGCCACACTGATCAGGGGCATCCATTCTATGAACCACTCTGACAATTTGTTGAGGTCCTCTTGCAATGTGGACGTATCACTGTTGCCCTTCAGCTCCCTCCAAATGTTTAAGTCATCTGCGTATAGGACCATAGGAGAGTCGGTGAGCGGAGATAACTCATTGATATACAGAATAAATAGGAGAGGTCCGAGCACCGCACCTGTGGCACTCCACTACGCACTGCTGTCCAAGAGGAGGGTTTTCATCTGTTCCTAACCCTCTGTCTCCTATCTATGATGAATTTCCCGAGCTATTTGAGAAATCTGCCTTTGATACCAAGACTCTGGCCTCATGAGTAGTCTTTTGTGAGGTACTTTATGAAAGGCTTTGCTGGAGTCTGTGAAGACGACGTCAACACGACTTCTGTTGTCCCTTGATTTGACCCAGCTTTCTGCTGCAGTGAGGAGACTTGATAGGCACGAGAGGTTCCTCTGGAAGCCATGCTGTGCTCTAGATAACAAGCTGCTGTTTTCCAGATATGCCATGATGCTTTTCTTGATGATTCTTCCCAGTGTCTTGAATAAAGTGCTGGTGAGACTGATAGGCCTGTAATTTGAAGGGCTTCGTCTTGATCCTCCTCTGTGGATGGGGATTACTGTGGCGTCTTTCCAGTCACGCAGTAACATTCCATTTAGGAGAGATAGCTTGAAGATCGTGGTCAAAGGACCGACTATGTCATCTGATAGCTCCTTGAG